CGGTTGTTTTGTGCAGTTGACTGAATTAAGGGGCAAGGAGGGTTTGGTTCATGTTTCGCAGATGGCTACTCGGAGGATTTCGAATGCCAAAGATGTTGTGAAGCGGGATCAGGAGGTTTATGTGAAGGTAATTTCGGTTTCGGGTCAGAAGTTGAGTTTGTCTATGAGAGATGTTGATCAGAATACTGGTAAGGATTTGCTTCCATTGAAGAAGAGTTCGGATGACGATGCTTTTAGGACTAATCCTTCAGGGGGGAAAGAGGGGCCTGTGATGAGAACTGGTCTTTCAGGAATTAGGATTGTGGAGGATGAGAATGCTGTTCCATCACGCAGGCCGTTGAAGAGAATGAGTTCACCAGAAAGATGGGAAGCCAAACAGTTGATTGCTTCTGGTGTTCTGACAGTAGATGAGTATCCGATGTATGATGAGGAAGGAGATGGAATGCTTTATCAAGAAGAGGGTGCTGAAGAAGAGCTTGAGATTGAGTTGAATGAGGATGAACCTGCCTTTTTGCAAGGGCAGACTAGGTACTCTGTAGATATGTCACCAGTAAAGATTTTTAAGAATCCTGAAGGGTCTTTGAGTCGTGCTGCTGCTCTCCAGTCTGCACTTATTAAGGAGCGGAGAGAAGTAAGGGAGCAGCAGCAGAGGACAATGCTTGATTCAATTCCAAAGGATCTTAATCGTCCTTGGGAAGACCCAATGCCAGAGACTGGTGAGAGGCATCTTGCACAAGAGCTGAGAGGTGTTGGATTGTCAGCATATGATATGCCTGAGTGGAAGAAGGATGCTTTTGGGAAAGCTTTGACTTTTGGGCAGAGGTCTAAACTTTCCATCCAGGAGCAGAGGCAGAGCCTGCCTATTTATAAACTAAAGAAGGAACTGATTCAGGCTGTGCATGATAATCAGGTTCTGGTGGTCATTGGTGAGACTGGTTCAGGTAAGACTACTCAGGTAACACAGTACCTTGCTGAGGCTGGTTACACTACAAGGGGTAAGATTGGATGCACTCAACCTCGTAGGGTGGCTGCAATGTCTGTGGCCAAGAGGGTCGCTGAAGAGTTTGGTTGTCGTTTAGGGGAGGAAGTTGGGTATGCTATTCGTTTTGAAGATTGTACTGGACCAGATACTGTCATCAAGTACATGACTGATGGTATGCTTCTTAGGGAGATTCTAATTGATGAGAATCTGTCTCAATACTCCGTCATTATGCTTGATGAAGCTCATGAGCGAACAATTCATACTGATGTCCTTTTTGGGTTATTGAAGCAGCTTGTGAAATGTAGACCTGATCTTCGTCTGATTGTTACTTCTGCTACATTGGATGCAGAGAAGTTTTCAGGGTATTTCTTCAACTGTAATATTTTTACAATTCCTGGGAGAACATTTCCTGTGGAGATACTCTATACAAAACAGCCTGAAAGTGACTATCTAGATGCTGCTTTGATTACAGTCCTACAGATACATTTGACTGAACCTGAAGGTGACATTCTTCTCTTCCTGACTGGTCAGGAGGAAATTGATTTTGCATGCCAGTCTCTTTATGAGAGGATGAAAGGGCTAGGTAAAAATGTTCCTGAGTTGATTATTTTACCAGTTTATAGTGCTCTTCCTAGTGAAATGCAGTCTAGGATTTTTGAACCTCCCCCTCCAGGGAAAAGGAAGGTAGTGGTGGCAACGAATATTGCCGAGGCTTCTTTAACTATTGATGGAATATTCTATGTGGTTGATCCTGGTTTTGCAAAGCAAAATGTCTATAATCCAAAGCAAGGGCTTGATTCTCTGGTTATAACACCAATTTCACAAGCATCAGCCAAGCAACGTGCTGGGCGTGCTGGGCGTACTGGACCCGGAAAATGCTACCGCCTGTACACTGAGAGTGCATACAGAAATGAGATGTCTCCTACAACAATTCCAGAAATCCAAAGGATTAATCTTGGTACAACAACATTAATGATGAAGGCCATGGGAATAAATGATCTCCTTTCTTTTGATTTTATGGATCCACCAGCACCCCAAGCTCTCATTTCTGCTATGGAACAACTTTACAGTCTAGGAGCTCTAGATGAGGAGGGACTTTTGACTAAATTGGGTAGAAAAATGGCAGAATTTCCTCTTGATCCACCACTATCGAAGATGTTATTGGCCAGTGTGGACCTTGGGTGTAGTGATGAGATATTGACAATTATCTCTATGATTCAAACAGGTAACATCTTTTACAGACCAAGGGAAAAGCAAGCTCAAGCTGATCAGAAGAGGGCCAAGTTTTTCCAACCTGAGGGAGACCATTTGACTCTACTTGCTGTATATGAGGCCTGGAAAGCAAAGAACTTTTCCGGGCCTTGGTGTTTTGAAAATTTTGTTCAGTCTCGATCCTTGAGGAGGGCACAGGATGTCAGAAAACAGCTTCTCAGCATCATGGATAAGTATGTTGATCTACCTTTTGGTTTAATAATGTGTTGTTTTTGCAATTGTGTCTCTGATCAAGATATTTGCTTTATATTTATGCATGTATGTTCTTATGATTTTAAATGTGTTCTACACTTTGATAGGTAACTTTCATGCATTATTAGAGTAGGATATATTTGCATTTACATTTTCTAATCATCACAAGTAGAACATATCTTTGATAATGTTTTACATGATTATTACTACAAGGATAAGCGCTAACTCCAGTTAATTTGATCACTTAAAAAATACGAGAATGTTGGTTGAGCTTAATTGGCTAGAAAACTTCTCACTTACCTGCTTTCCAGGTCTCTTACTTTGTGTGCACTTGTAAGCCCTCGTTTGGGTGCTGTACTAGGGGATTGTGGATGTGTCTATGGGAAAATTCAAAGCTAATTGTGCTTATGAAATATCCCTGATTTTCTGAACTTGCTTTTTTAATTTAGCATTGTCCTTGTTAGTTTGTGGTATTAGTAATAACCTTCACATGTCTACATTAGCATCAAGAAGCCGGACTTCCTTGATCTCTCTCTTTCATCTGTTTGAATTTGTTTTGTTCACTGACTTCCTTGATCTGTCTTTTCATCTGTTTGAATTTTGTTTTGTTCACTAGTAGATGTATTAAGACCTTTTAACTTTTACATCTACAAGGTTCTAACGCAAAAGTTGATGCTTTTCAGGTACAAATTGGATGTAGTCAGTGTGGGAAAGAATTTTACGAAGATTAGAAAAGCTATTGCAGCTGGGTTCTTTTTCCATGCTGCTAGGAAGGACCCACAGGAGGGATACAGAACTCTGGTTGAGAACCAGCCTGTGTATATTCACCCAAGCAGTGCCCTTTTCCAGAGACAACCGGACTGGGTGATATACCATGAGCTGGTGATGACAACAAAGGAATACATGCGGGAGGTAACAGTGGTAGATCCCAAGTGGCTCGTTGAACTGGCTCCAAGGTTCTTCAAAGTGGCAGATCCCACAAAAATGAGCAAGCGCAAGCGCCAAGAACGTATTGAACCTCTTTATGATAGATACCATGAGCCTAATTCTTGGCGTCTGAGTAAACGACGAGCTTGATAGGTCAGTGTCGTTGATCTCAGATTGGTTTTGCTTCACGTTGTAACTGTATGTATTATATTTCCCTTTGTAAGTTGTAGTTGATTTTTAAAACCTGTCGCCCCACATCTTGCTCTTTCTAACATGAGTCATGAATTCAGAGAAATATTCCTTCACATTTTTTATAAAAAGAGTAAAAGTTTCATTTATTAAGGCATATGTGAAAGGAATTTAATGATAATTATTTATCAATTACTATCCTAATGATCAGGAGAACCATGCTTCATAGTCAATTGATTTTCGCCACTTTGAATTGAGGTCATCCTAATCATCAGGAGCTGTTTACATTGACAGCATTTGCTCACTCGAAACTGTTTGGAAGGTAATCCATTTCTCCTCTCGACATGCTTTAGCATCTAATGTCTACATTTCAAACCATTGGGGGCAGGTGTTCCGAAGTGTTTTGGAACCAATAATATATCTGGAAAATTCTAGAAGGACAGCCTGCAGCAAAGCTACAAAGATACTTGCCAACAGAGGAGATTGGAGTTATGATATGGGAAAGAAACGATGTATCAGTTTCTACTTCGATAGGGAGTAGATTTGTTGGAAAGGCCACTTACCTTCTTAAGAAGGGAATAGCAGCTAGGAATATATTATTAGACAGAATTGATAGTGTAATGACAATGCAAGAGGGGAAGACAAAATTGAGTGCTTGGTTTATGAGAAGAAAGATGAGAGTCATACTCCTAATTAAGTGGACTGTTAATATTATGTGTACAAAAGTTTATATTCTGTGGGACTTAAAATTGAATTAAGTTGATTAATTTGGTTAATAAACTAAAATAGAATTAATCGAATTAAGTTATTAATTCGGTTAATGAAAAATAAAAAAAGTGGGTCGATTCGATTAAAATATATAAAAAGATCAATTAAATCGACGAAAAATTTGCAATCAATCGATTGTTTAGATCTTGCAATGTCTTCTCCCTTTCTCTCTTTGTTTTCCTTTTCGGGTCTTTTCCGCTTTAAACGTCGTCGTGTTTGCTCCTAAGGCCCTAATCATCTATGTTTACTTGGTCATGTAGTTTGGGCTTTTGGCTTTTGGGTTGACGAGCGGAGCAAACTCAACTTTAATAAGACTTTTAATCAATTGATCAAGACGTTCCTTACCGAGGATACTCATTGCCCATTTGACTCTGATGTTGCTACAATGGTGGGGCTACTCCACCTTGATGCTGCCACGTGTGCGGAGAAAAGAATTTACGTAGTAACTCCTATCTCAACTTGCTACTATACTATTTTGGAAGGAGTGTTATGTTATCAATTTCTCTTACCAATGGGGGAGCAACGAATTTGGAGCCGTTGATCTTGTTTACTTTACAAGTCAAAAACTCTGTGCAGATTAGAAGAACCCGACAACCGACAGCCTTGCTCTCTCCTGAGTTACAGTGTCTTAAATTCTTAATCTTTCTTTACTGAATAAACAATGGAAAAGAAATCGAAAATCTCCACTTGCTCTACTTGCTCTACTTGCTCCACTTCACAAATCCAAGTCTCAAAAAGAGTAAGACGCCCTTTTTTTACTCTCCTCTCTCTCCAAACGGCGGAGGGGCAAAGAGAAAGAAAGCAAAAGCCAAGATGGGCTCGGTTTCACTGAAAATAGGAGATGGAACAGCAAGATTCAAGAGAGCAACACTTTGCTCCTCAGCTGTCAACATTCTCATGCTTTTCTCTGTTCTTACAACCAATCTCTTTGCTTTATATGCCTTCACGTATTCACCGAAACAGCACATAAGCAACCCACTTAACCATCCTGAGAAGAACTTCTCTTTAATATCTGAACAAGTCTCCTTGATAATAAGAGAGATCGATTCTTCTCAAAGGAAGCTTGCCCAGATGGAAAAAGAGCTCCTTGGTTATGAAACTCTTGATCTTTCAAGACCCAATCTTGCGAGTGAGCTTAAGTTGTTTTTGCAACATCATCAGCTTCCTTTGGGGAAGGATTCAAGAACTGGGATCACTGAGATGGTGGCCTCCGTGGGGCATTCTTGTGAGAAATCTGCTGATTTGTTGTCCCAGTACATGAGTTACAAGGTTTCCGGACCTTGTCCTGATGACTGGAGTCTTGCTCAGAAGCTAATTGTGAAGGGATGTGAGCCTTTGCCCAGAAGGAGGTGCTTTGCCAAGACTGTTCCTAAGGTTGGTCTTAGTTCTTTACCTCTTTCTCTTTGGAAACCTGTAAGTGAAAAGATTGTTACTTGGAGTGGTCTTGGTTGCAAGAACTTTAACTGTTTGAATAGTAAAAAATTGAGTAGAGATTGTGTTGGTTGCTTTGATTTGATTAATGGATATGAGACTCAAAAATATGTTAAGGCTAGAAGCAAGAATGATTTTCTTGTGGATGATGTGTTAGCTATGGGGAATGGTGGGATTAGAATTGGATTTGATATTGGAGGTGGGTCTGGGACTTTTGCTGCTAGAATGGCTGAGAGGAATGTGACAGTGATTACTAACACCTTGAACGTTGATGCACCATATAGTGAATTCATTGCTGCAAGAAGCCTTTTCCCCTTGTTTTTGAGTTTGGACCATAGGTTCCCTTTCTATGATAATATTTTTGATTTGGTTCATGCGACAAGTGGATTAGATGTTGGTGGTAAACCAGAAAAATTGGAGTTCTTGATGTTTGATGTAGATCGCATTTTGAGGGCTGGTGGCTTGTTTTGGTTAGATAATTTTTATTGTGCCAATGATGAAAAGAAGAGGGATTTGACTCGTTTGATAGAGAGGTTTGGATACAAGAAGCTGAAATGGGTTGTAGGAGATAAGATTGATGCAGCTGGGTCAGGCAAACCCGAAGTTTATCTATCTGCTGTTTTACAGAAGCCAGTGAGAACATGACGGTTAGAGATATCCTGGAAACTGATGGAGGTAACAATATTGTTCCAATTTCTAGCTTTATCCCCACAAAATTTGTGCATATTTATTGCCTTAATATCCTCATGAATTTGTTCTAAGGTGGAATAAATGCTGCAATTGATTCCTTTCCTAAGTAGCAGTGGTGGAGAATGACCTCTGTTCTGTAATCTAAAGCTTTTTTTCCCCCCTTGAATCTCTTCTTTTGTAGTTTCATCGATGTTGGTATTTCAAACAATGAATATTAGGAAATGAAATTTTCATAGTGTATTCTTGAATTTGTTTCAGTATTTAACATTTGATGTTTCCTTGTAATTAAGTGTGCCTTTTGCTGAGCATCTTTTGAGTTTTACTATATGCCCCGCAGCTAGTCCTGAAAATCATGATTCCAGCTGTATGCTTGGATCTCAAATACCTGGGTCATTGGCATGGTTATCTTTTGCTCTCAGCTGACATTATATGAATGTAGGAAGAACGTTTTGTTTGACTTGTTCAAGTACCCAAAATTCCTTCCACAAACATGTATATGACCACCCTAAATTGTTAATCCATGAAATAAAATTGTTACTTATCGTTGGCCTTAAATATTCTTTTGCTCTTGATGTGCCTCTGTTTATACTATTGGACATTGCAATCAAACCATTTCCTGCTTTTTCTTCCAAATCTAAGTTAGATAGCCTGGTGTTCAAGCTATGCGCTCTTGCGAATAGAAAAATTGAACTCACTTCTGAACTTAGCCTTGCTCCCCTTACCTGATTATTTGGTCCTTAATCAGGCTTTGCTTGGAACACTGCCGGAAAGTATTTGAGTTCTCCTTAAAACAGTTTGGAGAATGAAAGATACAAACTAAACTTTTATGAATCAAGATTGTTCTGAACAAATATATTCTTTTGGTTAACCAACTGCCTGAAAAAGCGGCTAAGAAATCATGATGGCTTCAGCGATTAACTAATATCATGTTGTTCATCATATATTGTTCTTAAGGATGTAACGGACCTTGGAAATCGTATTGTCAGCATCCATTAAGTTCTGATTTCTGATAAAGGGGGTTACTCATATAGTTCATTTCCTGCTGAAAATTGTTATTTTAAATTATGGTACATCACATTCGACCTCTACAAAGTGAAAGCTAAAAGAAAATGCACTCGAATTGCTAACTGAAGCTGCAGGGATACTACTGATAATCATAAAAAGCCAAGAACATATCTGGTTTCAGCAATCCGACCCTCCTGCCATTTTCCATCTTCAGATTAACAATGGAGCATTCTTGGGTAATCTGAAAGCATAATGGCAATTCAGTTCGAGGCATATTTAAGCATCGCAACCTTCTGAATTAGTGCCATTAATGCCTTGCACTGTGGCACTGTTGAGGAGCTTCATTCCTTCTTCACTCATCTGTTGTACTTCTGTGGGGGATAGGATTCTGATGCAGCGGACACACCCAACAAATTCCCTGAACACACATCAAATCATAGCCATCAGAAGCTAGATGCTAACACCAGTCTTGTGTTACAGAAATATTAAAAGGTGTGTTCGTGTAGTAGTAAGGAGTAGGGATAACAAATGCAATATATGTTTATATATAAACTTACTCCCAAGGATCATCCCCAACAAGTAGAACATCATTCTCATAATCCACATATACCAATTTCCACCCTGAACCTCTCCGATCGTTGAGCAGCCCCTTAAGTCCAAACATGCATTCAATTGCAGAGACTAGTTCATCATAGTTCTTAAAACTTGTGACATCAATTGACCTTCCAACAGATCCTGCCTTCTGAACCTGTCACAGCCAGAACCAATACGAGTTAGAGAAACGAGAATGTAATAAAATCCTGGAAAGAAATATCAATGTGCCATGAGACACAAAATGTAACTATGCAATCTGCACATAACCCCAGTCGATATCATACCTTTGTATATGTTCGCACACGTGGAGCCATTTGCTGCCATGAGTTATTCTGCAGAAGGCCACTCTCATCAAAATCGACATTGCTTGAAGATGTGCCACCTGAGCTGTCCGGTAATTCTTGTCGAGAGAAAGCCTGAGAGTCTGCCAGGCTAGCTGAGGTAATCTGAGACTGAACATCCTGACTAGAACTAAAGTTGCCAACCAAACAATCTGAAGGATTTTGGAAGTCAGCATCCTTCAATGAACAAAATTCATCCAGAATGGCACTGGAAACAGAAGGATCAATCACGGCACTGCCACCATTACTGACATCAATGTTAAGACAGCTGTATATCCCACTTTGATTATTGCTGTCATCAGACAAATCTTTCACCCCACCAGAACTAAGATTGTATGGGTCTTGCTGAGGGATTGACGTTAATTGGTCAGCATGGGATAAAATCCTACAATTATTCAGCTGATGATCCCATGTATCCTGAACCCCTGTAGTTAAAGAAGGATCGGTTGCTTCAGTAAAGACAGCTGAAGAGTCTTGTAACCCAACCACTGGCACAGGACCAGGAGATCTATAAATCCCGGCAAGAGGCTGGCAAGCTGAAAGGTGTGACGTCCATTCATCTGAGTCTAAGAAAGGAAGAAAGCTGCTTAAAGGACTAATATCAGCTTGAGATACCTGCATTTGATGAGCTTGGAGGACTGACGATTCCAACTGTGACTGAATGGGCCATGGATTGTTTTGCAATGGGAATGGAATCTGGTTCTGGTTAGGGAAAGCAAGTTGGTTCAAAATAGTTGATGGGCTTGCAGCATTTGCAGCCAATTTTTCCTCATTGCATTCTGATGTTGAAGTCAACTGACTTAACTGATCAGTTGAATGCTCTGATTCCAACTTTAACTTTTCATTATTGCTCCTAGCTTGCGTTTGGCTTTCAAATTTGTTTGCAGGAGGATGTAGATTCCCATTCGCATTTATTTTGGGTGAATTTGAGTTGATGGGATCAGGTTGGTCAGGGACTAATTGGGAAAGATTTTGGTTTTCTACCAACAGATTTTCTGACTGGATAAGCTGAGGTTTCTGATTGCTTGTAGACTGCAAGTTCTTCATCTCTTCTAATGGAGATCCCTTTCCAGCAGAGATTTGTTGTAAAGTAGGTGCAAAAACTCCTAGATGGTTAACGAGCTGAGGCTTCATCATCATCTTCATTAGTTGTTCAGAACATAAATTTGAGATTGAATACGGAAGATTCCCATTTCCATTTTCAGGAAACTGGAGAAGGGGCCTTTTTATCAAGCTTCCCCATTCAGATTCTGCTCCTGTGAGCACAAAACACAGCCACAAGATAAGTATCTAAAAAAGTTGCACACCACTCAACATAATGAACAGAAGCTTACCCAAAATTCCAGGATGTAATGGCCGTTTGAGACCTGAAGTTAGAGAAGGAAAAATAAAGAGACTTTCGGGAGTTTCAATTTCCCATGCACTGACCCTGTTCGGTTTATCATTACATCCAGGTTCATCCCACTCAACCTGTTTAGAGAATGGATAAAAGAAGTTCCATTATTAAACTGTTCAGTAGAGAAAGCTCTATTATGTAATAGGAAGATGCAAAACCAACATCCTGTTGCAACAAACAGTTTTAAATCAAATAAAAAAACCTGAAGGTTACGCCACTTCGAGCCAGGCCATCTCAGAGGATCCAAGTCACCAATACCAACTAATGTACCCATATATCTGCAGAAAAGTGAGAAACATTAACAGATATCTAGACAGTTGGATATATTGAATATTTACCCTAGAATTCAAACATACATTAGAAAAAACAACATTGTTATTTTTTTCATGTAGGATAGTCTTGCAACAATTATATCATCATTCATTGTCAAGGAACATGATGGAAGAAGCCTATAGTATTCCACATTTTCACTTTATGCAAAAGTGTAGCAACGCTTTAACAATCCAAGCATGTATATAATAAGTAGTGTCTTGACAACGATCACTACGACGAAAATCCTTTCTAAGACCTTAATTTTGGAAACATATAGTGAGAGGACAAAACTATCTAGAACTTACCTACGTTTTCCCGACTCATCTGTTTCAAACATCATTCCAAACCTCATACCAACAGAGACTTGAGTACCATAAACAGATTTTCGGTATTTAGCCAAAGGGATGACAAATTCTGAAGGGCAGGCCCTACAGAAAAGGCAGGAGAGAAAGCTATGTCAAGAAATAGATACAGGAACCTTAAGAAAGGGGAAAAGAGAGAGAGGAAGCATAAAAGATGGGACACAAATGCTTATCAAAAACACCTTGGATTGTAGAAAATTGTGAATGGGCTTCTATTGGCAGCAGCATGAGCAGCAGCGGCAAGGACACCAATGTGCATACTATCAGCAGATAGAACTGATGATGGTAATGTTGTTTGTTGACGATTTGCACGCCTCACACCCACCATTAACTGTGATTTCTCATCCCTTGCAATAATAAGGAATAATATAAGGTGCAATCATGCATTTAGAATTTAAAATAACTTGTACCAAACAAATGCAAGTATATAAATCAAAAAAAGATGCAGTATGAGACTATAGCATACCTGATAAAGAGAACAGAATCACCTGCCCTAAGCCTTTTTGATCCAACAAACAAACTCCACCCAGTTGTAAGAAGGTGTCGCTTTGGCTGTCCTGCATAAAACAACACATATCATAAACAAGATTAACTTCACAATGTCAATATGGGTATATGCACACAGACATATATATGAGAACTAGTGACTAAAAGTGACTGGCGCCAATTTCTTTTCAAACAATTTTCATCATTGTAGGGTGTTCTAATCACATTACTTTCTGTAAACAGAAGGTAAATAATCAAAACACACTCACCGCGGTATATATGGCGAAATGTCCAGGTATTGTCATGCAGGTCTCGCACAACAAGCTCTTGAGTTGGGGGTTGCATTGTGTAATCCTGCAAATAGATAAAAACAGTAATGTAATTACAGATAATGTCCACTGCATATGCACATTTGCTTCTAACACTTTCATCAACCAATTAAAAGCTCACCAATGGAGGGAAGAGCTTCTCTGCTGCTCTGCGTGGCACTGAGAAACCACCATGTGTACTGGTATCACTTGCAGTCAAAGTTTTGCAGAAAAATTCATTTGGATGCTTGCTGGACTTCAATCCAAAGTCTGGTATAGGGAAGACATCTTTTTCCTACTCAAAGGCAAATTTATAAAAGAGAAAAAGTGTCAGATATACAAGTCTAGCAGAAAAGGGGTTCTTTTTGTCAATCTTAAATATCTAGGAAATTTCAGAAATATATCATACTAAAGAAGCTTACAGAGTTCACTGGTTGAAGGCTC